TAATAATCAATAAGTTTTGTTCCTTCGCTTTACTAAATAAAAAATTCAAAAGTTTACAGATATATATAAAAGTGATCGAATTGAATTATCTTTAATATGATAATCTGTTATGTTCTAGATATTAGACATGGAATTAAAACTTTTCTGATATAGATTACGATACTTTTCAATAAAAAGAAATATAAAATTAATGATAATTCAATGAAAAATATGAAGATTTGTGAAAAAAACATAATAACAATCATAACACCTCCATAATAATTAGACCCAGAAAATTTTTGTAATACTTTAAAAAATTTACGACTCGTACTGTAACCTCCATAATAATTAGACCATTAGAAAAATTTATGTGAAGTACATATACTTCAAAAAATTTATGACTTGACCATAACCTTTATAATAATTAGATTTTTATGTAATCCTCTGCAAGATTTATAGAGTTATCGCAACCTTTTGCAATCTTATGCAATTTTTAACTATAAATATTGCATAAGGTTACATTTTAGTATAAACCTTCATAAAACTACATTTTGTAAACCTTTGTAGGGCTTGTAAACTATTTGTAAACCTTCGTAACTTTATGCAATATTATGGTGTAAAGCTTTACAATATTTATATTTTAATATAAACTTTATGAAGGGTTACATTTAAAAAAATTATTCTTTTTTATAGCGAAGTACTTCGAAAAATTTACGATTTGTAAATATTTCGAAATACTTCACCATAATTCTCTGTAATAAATATGTTTCATCTAAGTATATCGTAAGTATTACTGATCATAATCCTACGTAGTATAAACTTTCGTAAACCTACGAAGTACTTCAAAAATATACAATTAATAAACCTGCGAAGTATTGTGAAATACTTCGTAGGTTTACAAAATCTCATAATACTTCAAAGGTTTACGTTACATAGGATTACAATCAGTAATACTTACAAAGTACTTCAATGAAAATGTAGTTATTACAGAGGATTATGGCGAAGTATTTTGAAATATTTACAAATCGTAAAGTTTTTGAAGTACTTCGCTATAAAAATTTTCCTGATGAAGATAAAACACAAGTTCTTTGACGACCTAAATATAGAAAATATTTTAGAAGTACCACTAGAGGAATTTTATGGAATCTTTTGCAGGTCTATACTACTCACCTACTTACTGGTTTTCCAATTACACACATTATTTCTGGCACTAATATGCATACGTCAAGTGGAGTTTCGCTAATCACTAGTGTTGAAAAATATGATACATTTTAAACGGTGCATGTTGTGTTAAAACTTCCTTATCTCACACCTAATGTCTTACGAAATCTCAACAATATAATCAATATGGATAGAGCTAGCCCTTTGACTCTTTGTTATTTAGGAAGTATGCTTAAAGGACGACCCCAAAACTGTGCGGTATTTATAAAATTTGACCTAAGCAAGGTATATCAAATGATAAAAAAATATTAGAAACTATTGAGTTATGATATGAGAAAATATGCAATACAATGGTAACATATTTATGTACTACTGCTAAGACTTTGGGTCCACAAATCAATCCAGAAAAAGTGATTGTCAATATTCGAGTTTTTTATACAACAAATTACCAGCATTACCAGCATGCTATTAGACTTCTCCAATATGAAATTTTTCCTACCAAGTCGTCAGATAGCATTGCCCTTATCCCTCAAGATGATTCTTATGAAACTACAGTCCAAATCAATCTGGAATTTAAGTCTTATTTTAGAGATTGGAACTGGCTCAAAAATTCTTAACCAGTTAATAATCAGTTAAAAATTTCTTTAACCAGTTAATTAATTGGTTAAATTCAACTCAGACCGGCACTATAAATTTGGACAAAACTAGCAAATTTTGTAATTGCAAAAAAATTTTAATTCTACCCGAAAATTAAATTTTGACCAGAGTTAACATTAGTTATTTTAATCAGTTAAAAAAAATCTTTAACCAGTTAACAAGATAAATGTCTTAACTGGTTCTAACCTCTATCTTACCCCTATAAGAAATCGAAATAAGGAAATGATACATTTTTTATAAAGTTTGTATACGTAATTAATGATTCTATATCAAAATTCCGTATGTTTTATAATGATTTATTTTTTATAATTTTTTAAAAAATTAATGTATACAGAATTATTAAGGAATTTAAAATA